GAATTGGACTTTGTAGATTAGGATGTCTAAGAAGGGAGAAAATGAGATGATTGGCGTTCTTGCTGCAAGTGTAAAATCTCGTGAGGAAGTGGATGAAGTTTCCGCTACTGTTGTGTGGTCCCGCGGAAGCAGCTAGATCGACAATAATTTTCCAGCTTTCACGGTAGAAGTATGTAAGAACCTGCAAGTATTCATTTCGATGTATCAGCCATGGTGTAAAAAATTGGCAAAGCATATAGCGCAACTATATTAATACTGTCGAAATGGACAATTGTTGCTGCCACTTTCAAGTTCATTCCTGATCAAAGCGGGAATGAATCAGAATACTGAGGGCTGCTCCTCACCTTTGGCTTGCTTTCTAATCAGGAAAGGGGACAGGCAATTATCCACGGATTTTAATTTTTAATCCGTTAATTGCGAGAGGTAATCGACTGCAAAGCGCCGGGAATGCAGTTGATGAGGCATAGGGCTATGATGAGAATGCGACTATGCCCAGCTCACGAGTTCTTGCACATGAAGCGGATATGGAATCAGAGTGCAGATCGGCTGGCGAGTGAAGCTCTACGGCAAGAGAAAGAGGCAGTTTTGTTTCCCGATCAAGAGCGTCAGAACCTATTTGCTCTTAGTCGATTTAACGATTTGCTACTACAAGAACAAGTCGATCGTGCGGTCAAAACAGCGGCTATCACTCTAACAGCCCAAAGAAGAAATTGTCAGCCCAGGATTTTACAGGAAGAGCTCGTGCAGAAGATACGATTTGGTCGTTTTAAGCAAGCACAAGACAAATCAAAGTTGGATTTCCAGTCCAAAGATGTCTTTGGTTAAAGACGTGACTAGATTATCGACAGCTGAAGACAAGGTATGCGCCCTGATTGCACCGGACTATGAAGGAGACCAAAGTGGGCTGCATTATTTTTTGTCCGAGATCATCCACCTAAACTGGAGGCCGTACTGAACTGGTTCGTTTGGTGGATCCAGAACAGTTACAGCAATAATTTTGGCACCATTATTACACAAGCCTGGAGGGTGGCTACCTAGGAATTGGCCGCACCTATTTACGGATCGAAGAGAATTATCACCGGCGTGGATTGTACCGAAGTGCGCAGAGGTATGTGGGAGAGTGTGTAAACTATAAAACGGGGAATATAACGACCAAGGAATCGAAATGGATCTATTGCTATATATGCAATCGACGTACCATTGTCAGATTATAGCTATGGATGCACTATTTCTTTTTTAGATTCTTTAAAGGAAACAGCGAGATGATGCTGCGGGTCGATTTTTACTCGTGAAATGTAATCGCACAGGCATGCTCGCAGATCTACCTAGACAATAACATAAATACGAGGAGTGCGTGCTCAGACGATTCGGTGTGTGTGAGGCGATACGCCATGATCGCAAGGGCGACATTTACGTCTGATTTCTTCCGGAGCTTTAATAGGATCTATGTAAAAAAAAACAACGGACCACTATGGCGTATAGACCGCAAGCTAATATTACGGCTGAGCGCATGGTGCAGAAGGTGACCTGATCGACCAAGGTCTATGTTTTAGATAAAAACCAAAAGGACTTGGACGAATTTGCAGAACAATTGACTTGTGCGATCAACACCGCTCATGATCGAATTTGAGTACATATAGCGTTATACCTTATTCACCATTGAGACCCCGGATCGACCCTTAAAGCAAACTTACCGTTGGGAAGTAACGGACCCCGGGATCGAGATGCCCGAAGATGGAGATATGGTATACAACAATAAAATTAGCGTGCTCGGGTGGAAGCGAATGAATAATAGGAGATTGCGATCAGAGTTTAAGCCGATCGATATTCTAAAGATCAGTATATTTTGGTAATGTAATGTGAGTAGCACTTTTGGCTATACCTGGGGTGAGTCAAGGGAGGATATGCTTGAACGCTAGTCCTTTAGGGAACCTTTTTAGTGGTCGAGAATTTTGGCGATCACGTCGTGCAGTTAAAATTCGCGGGCAAGCCGTTCCGTTCATATCCGATTGTTAACATGTCTAAGCTGAAGCTAGTTCTAATTATTCTAGAACGCCCAACGGGTGGGTTGGACGCGGATGAGGTGAGTCGGTATGATAATTTAATGAAGCACAGCTGTCATACGAATAGTTGGGAGTGTAATCTCGACGCGGACGAGTTTAAAGTAAACAAGATCATAGATTTGCAATCAGGACGAAAGACGAGGTACGGCCGAATACACAAGCAGTACCTGGTACAATGGAAGTGTACAGCGACCCAGCTTGGACTGGTAAAGCCGATCTTGATTGTGGAGCTATGTTGCAGGCATTTAATCGCGATCAGGTAATCAGGAATCGTTTTAAGGTGATTCAATTGCACATAAAAGAAGCCAGATAATAGCGATGATCGGAGAGATTTAGAGAATGGATCTATGCAGGTAAGGTGCATGGACGGGGAGGAGAGTTATGGGTGCAATGAGGTTGCACATGTAGATGGAATGGGATTTATGTGAATTTAGTGCGACGATTGCAGACCTAGCGGTACGATCAAGATGAAAAGACAAAAATGATGGACAAAATTCAACTTATTACATTGTTCGAGTGGATTTTAAGAAGAAAGTTTGCTGAGAGATCGTGTCATAGAAAAAGCCAAGTGAAAAACTTGCCTTCACAAACCTTATCACGTATGCGTGTCAAATAAGACTAAAAGTAGGATGCGATTAAAGAAAAAAAGCTGTTTCCTTCAATGCTCGGTAGCGTGATCGATCGACAAGGCCGTAATCACGTTGGGTATATTGGTCCGACGCACAGATGACCCGGGATAACATACTCTAGCCTCCTTCGGACGATAAAAGTGCACAAACAGGGGGTCTACTATTTTGTTCAACTCGCAGAGGCCGTCGGTCATATCTCAAGAAATCAGCTGCAGTATTCGCTCCCAACGAAGGCTAGCACGAGGTCGTCTCTAGCTTCTCGCTCGCGTAAAAAACGGCCAGCCAAGGATCCATTTTTTGCTTCTCGACGAAAATTTACAAGAAATGGGTGCTTCCCACAGAGCTTGGCGATGGCTATCCACGAATCCTTCGTACGCCTCGATCAGTTTCGAACCAGCCAGAAGTATTATAGATGATCGGGTACATAATTCGATCATTAAGGTCCCAAGTTTGATTATCGTAAAATTAGATCGATCTCGCTTGACGTTCTCAACTGGGGTGGCCAAGACAATTCCGGAGGAGGATAACTTTGACCAGTTGGACCGGGAAGATATGTACCTTGGGATTGGCAAAGTGATGATAAAAAAATCAATGTCCTGCTCCATACGCTGATCTGACTCATTCTTTGGAGGCCAAGGGGACACATCTACTGCCGATCGCAGAACCCGATCGCAAAACTCCAAAATTGGAGGATCGATGTAACGGGGCACCCTGAAGCTTGTACTGGTGACAGTACAAGCTACTTATTCTGATGACAGAATAAGGCGGTGCCTCGTAACTTCACGTACACTCGCACGTGCAGATGAAGACGGTAAGAAGAAGCGAGTACTTGGGGTTAAAGTAAAAAGTAGAACTGCATTTATCATAGTTAATGTCTGCAATAAATCCCTATTTATCTTCATCTAACTATGTCTAAATACAAATGTGTAAATCGAATGTCTGCTCACCACTCATTGCGTGCGTCTGTCGTGGCGCGTCTTCGTTGGTTGATATAATGGCCTATATCAAACAATTAGGAACTACTCGTACGTGCTACAGAATATTTGTCCTTATGACAATATTCTGAGAATATAACTCTTATAGTTATATTCTATTAACAATTTCTTATAAATTTTTATGTAACGGTTCACCCCGTTACATCACCCCCCTTAACCATCAGTCACTTTAGTGACTGATTGACTAAATGGATACTCGTCCCAAATCATTTGGGACGGGGTTTGCACTTGTTGGTCCGAGTCCACAGTCCATCAGTTTCATCACATGGTTAGCAAGTCCATGCGGTGCGCGAACAAGGTCGCAGAGAGCGCGTCTGCACGTCTCTGTGCGGACGCCGAAGCAGAAACCGCTGCAACCGATGTGTCATCGGTTGCTAAACTGTCTCAGTCTGTATCACCTGGTGATGCAGACGCTCTTCATGAAGACACTCATGTCTTCACAGAGTATGAGCTCGGTGTCTCGTACTCTCCTGATACGGAAGACGGATCCGTATCGACGGCGATCGAATCCAAGCCGCCTGCCAAGCATGGCATGGATGATGCTATGCGTCGTAGCATCGTTGGTTTGTCTGATGAATCAGATGAACCATCGCCGAAGCGAAGGCGCTCGAGGTCGCGAGACTCGGGCTCTCACAGTGGTGTCGATTCTCTTATGGACACCACATCGCAACGAGGTGCCAGTCCTTCTGTCGGCACATCGCAGGAAGAGCGGGACCGCAGCGTGTTGCGTCTCGCTCCCGAAAAAAAGCATGGCTGCCTCCATAGTCAGCCTCCATAGTCAGTCATGGATCGCTCATCGGCGACGACAAGTGATCGCTATCGAACACGATTATTCGATTCATCAAGGGTCCATCACTTTGACCCCAGTGCGAACAGCTATCGCGCTGAGAATGAATTCTTCATTGATGCTTTCTTTAAGCATCGATGGTACAGTGGGAATCACAAACGTGATGGTCCCTCACTGCTTCAAGCGTGGAACGCTTACATCCATAACCTTGAGGATGTAGGTCGTGATGCTTGGAACGACAAACTTATCAAAGCTCGCGATAAGTTTGAGAAAAGAACCCCGACAGGTGCACGCTATAAGCTGCATCGTCTGTCAAGGGAGGATGGGTTACCCTGTCTCTCCTGGGGAGACCCGCGCCCTTGTTGTGTAAACAACTCAGCGCGCGCACCTAAGGAGGCTTACCTCCTTACTAGCCCGTGGTGGCGCGTACGTGTCTCTACTGAGATGTACGAAGGGATTGACAACCTGAAATCCCTTTACGACCGTGCCGGGAAGACTTTCTCCGGCGGTCCTTCTGCGGCACAGGATGTGCCGCGTCGTACTGCTCAACCAGACCCAGTACGTCAATCATCAGTTGGGAGCGGGGCTCCCAAGTATCCCAGGACGAGGGATAGCCGCGCCACCGGACGAGGTAACTCGTCCTTCACGTCGCGGTGGTTCAACAGCTGCTCAACTAGATCGCGCTGGCCACCGCGAGAGTCCTCTAATGGAGGTGGAGGAGGAGGAAAGACGCTCTCCAAACTATCGTGGGGGAGCGTGTGTTCCCGAGAGCTTCTTTGATTGCGTAACGCAAGGGTTACGCGACGATCTCGAACATGAGCGGAATAGGGGTCTCCATATGGCGGACACTGCCTTGAAGCATCGAGCTGAGTTTGCCTTTGCTCAGTTTGAGAACGAGATATCTCTGACATCTCTTCGTGACGAGCTAAGGGTAGCTCGTGGGATTGCTGATCGGTCTCGGGATCAGATAGCTGCTCTTCAGACCCTTGTTGATATCCACCATCAGGAGCACAAGGCCCTCTGTGCGATGCTTGAGCGCAAGGGCGTTCTTCATCGGAAGAAACAGCGTACTGATGGTACGGCTTAAGCCGACCAACGTAAAACGTGGGATGCGTTCGCATCTTACGTGGCAGTTCGATCGTGTATGCGTTTCCTAGGCGATGCAATACACGAAATGGGCCGACGTACTTGGGTAGAAGGTTAATACTACCCAAGTTAGTCACTACATGCTTTGGTAGATTAACCATAGACAGTAGGACTAAGTCACCTTTATTAAATAAAAGAGTGTTTGCACTTCCATTCTTGTCAGCGTTTGCCTTTGCTCGTCCACCGCTTCGGCGATGGAGTCTTGCACAAAACGGACTACCGTTTCACGAGCCAGTATGAACTCATCTGATGACTCGTTAGCTTCAGTGCGCTGTGAGCGCACTGCAGCAACATCAACCTTTTCTTCAGTGAGGGCTTCCGCACTCTCACTGGCATCATCTTCTTCGATATCAATGTTATCGATATCGGCATCAAACGCAATGACCTCTTCGTCAGAGCGTGATGAGCGTGAACCAAATCTGTTTTTGCTCGCGCGAGTCTCCCCTCTTAAACCAGAGTTACACTCTAGTAAGGTGGGTACACGCGGATGGCGCAAGCCATTCACGTAAAACGGTGTATGTGTCGTAGACGCATGCACCGAGTTGTTGATGGCAAACTCTACCATCGGCAAGAACTCACTCCAAATCTTAAAGGAGTGTAAGGATCCTCGAAGTATCTCTTCAAGGACACGATTGGCTCGCTCCGTCTGGCCATCTGACTTTGGATGATCAGATGTCGACATCTTCAAGCGCGTTCCGAGTGATTTGAACACGGAACGCCAGAAATAAGCAGTGAAGCGTGGATCTCTGTCCGATACGAGTTCACGGGGCAACCCATGAAGTCAGAAGAGGGTGTCGATAAAAACACAAGCACAGACACTTGCCGTGATTGTCTCTGGTACAACCACAAGGTGTACCATTTTGCTGAATCTGTCAACAAATACAAGAATACCCGTATTCTTGCGTGCGTCTTTGGGTAACCCGAAGAAAAAATCCATTGAGATGGATTCCCAGCACTCAGCCGGAACCGGTAGAGGCTGTAAAGGTGCACGCAGTGAAGGAATTGACTTCACTCGTTGGCAGACTTCGCATGCGCGAGCATACTTTCGAACAAACTGGTACTGGCGGGGCCAGCAAAAGTCTCGACTCACCGTGAGATATGTTTTCTCTCGGCCACGATGTCCTCCTATAGGAGCATCGTGATACTCAAACATGATCCGCAAACGCATATCAGTATCGTCTGGAATGACAACACGTGGTGTGTCACCAGAAACGGCTGTATAATACAGTAAATCGTTACGAGTAGTGTATCGATCTGATGCAGATCGATACGCAGACGATAATCGTTTCAACGATTCTCGAGATGGCTGTGAGAGATGTGACAACAACTTCACTATCTCACCATCTTGGGCGTATGCCCGCCTCACATCATCATATAACGTTGTAGATGGGACTGAGGACGTCATATCCGCAACAGTGACTGTCTCACTGTTGGGTTCACGACTGGTTCAAAGTCGGGACGACGTGAGAGTGCATCAGCGACGACATTCAGTCGTCCTGGTTTTTACTCTACCTAAAGTTGTATTCTGCAAAGAATGACAACAACCGCGCCATTCGTTGTGAAAGGTGCGGGCTGTTCACTGCCGTGCGTAATGACGCATGGTCAGTGTAAACAATGAAGGGTCTATCTCCTAATAGATAGACTCTGAACTTCGCGAGTGCATACTTCATGGCAAGGAGTTCCTTGTCATGCACTGGATAGTTTAGCTCAGCTGGTTGCAGCTGACGCGACTGATAGCAGACGACGCGCTCAACGCCTTCAAGATCGTACTGCATTAATGCACAGCCGATTGCGAAATCGCTGGCATCACAGACCACATGAAATGGCCTGTCCTGATCGGCTATTGCTAGGACTGGGGATTGTATCAAGCTCTGCTTGATACCATCAAAGGAGCGTTGACATTCAGCGTTCCATAACCACCTCTCATCCTTTTTCAACAAACGAGAGAGGTGTACAGTCATCTCGGCATAATTGCGTGAATACTTGTGCAAATACGCTGCTAGCCCAAGGAATTTTCGAAGACCTTTGACATCAACTGGCACAGGCCAGTCGGTGATCGTCTTGATCTTTTCGGGATCAGGACGTACACCGTTCTTACCAACGATGCACCCAAGAAGTGGTATTTCGCTTGTTGCAAATATGCACTTCTTGAGGCATACAATTGATGCTTTCGCATGATTGTAAGAACCTGTCGGACGTGGTACCTGTGAACCTCAACGTCCGACATTCCATCCACAGCTCGACTATGGATGAAGACGTCATCGAAATAACTCGGTGCGAATTCTCGTACTGGTCTCAACAGATGTGATACACATCTGTTGAACGTGGCAGGGGCATTACTGAGCCCTTGTGGCATTACTAGCCATTCCCAGAGCATGCCGCTGGGCGTGCTCACTGCGGTATAGGGTATATCCGTTCTCGTATAACGATTTGATAGAAGCCATCCATCAAATCCATGGACGAAAAGATGGTACTCTTTGACATACCATCAATGATTACGTCCTTCCTCGGTATTGGCGTCTGAGACGGTACCGTTGCAGCATTCAACTTGTTAAATGCATGCACAATCCGCCACCCTCCTGTTGCTTTTGACACAGAAGGTCGGAGAGCTATGTGGGGAAGTTGATTTCCTCACATGGCCCGCAGCTAAACGATCGGCAAAGAACTTGTCGATCGCAAGTACTTGTTCACGAGGCAGTGGCCACTGCTTCATGACACAGTACTTCAAGCCTGGTTTAAGCTCGACCTCGTGTCGAATACCTTTATCCTTCGGTAATTCGCACGGAACAGTTTCAGGGAATACATCCTTGAATTCAACCAAATATTATAGAGAGGATTTGTCTTGAGCGATTCCCACGATTGGGAGTCATATCGCTCAATTCGTGTCTTTTCATCTAGGACACTCTTGTCCATAGATGAACTACTGAGAACTCTCTCGTTCTCAGTGAACACTGTTGCTGACCTTATGTCGGTTAACACTCGTCGTCAGCGACGAGTATGCAGATCTGCTTGACTTTGCCACTACGCAGATCACGCAAGAACCTTTTATGTTCGAGCGTTGGCAACTGAGTGATCTCCGAAGTCAACTTCGGAGGCGCAATCAGGTCAAGTGTATAAGCGCCTACATTGATCCGTTATTGACTATGACATTCAATGTCTCTGTCATTTCCTGGGGACTTATTCCCTCAGGCTTCGAAGGCTTATTCCTTCGGCTTCCCGGGACTTATTCCGCGGGTTTTGGAGAACTTATTTCCGCCGTATTTGTATTATCGTGACTTATTCCTTAACTTCCTCTAGCTTTGGCTGCGCAACCACAGCGAGATCCTCTACGAAAGACGTTTCAGTCGATCAGGATTATCGTTTCGCTTAACCTGAGCGATCGATCGTTTCTCTTCTAGCTGTTCCCGCTAGGGATACACTTTGTCGGTCCACTCGACTTATTCGAGTGGTGGACATTGGCGCAGCCTGTGTTTCCTCACAGCCACCGGAACTTTGATCCAAGTGTAACCGTTTGTTACACCAAGGTTTCGTGCAGTCGTACTAACGACCGTACCACAAGTGAGGCCATGCACTCACTCGTAGTACATCACAGCTTGTGGACGCTCCAAAACGTTCATCAGATGGCCATCTGATGAACAAGCGGCAGGCATGTTACTGTCCGGTGTTGCCAGTTTACCCGTGGTTCGTACCTTCTGAGCCACGGTATTCAGGATGACATCGAATTTGTCATCCAAATCTAATACGATAAAGTCATCGTCATATTGGGTATTTCTAGCGTAAGTGGATCTTACTATCCGCTTCATGACGGTTATGGATGGCCTGTCTCAAGAGTACTGTCATCCTCGTAGGAGGTGTGTCACATTCACTGAATTTAAAGTGACCATCTTCTAGGATGGGTCGCACAAAATTGTTGGAAGCCCCAAAATCGACTAGAGCTTGAAGGGACAACTCATTGTCACTTCGAGTTTCAAGGTAATGAGTGAGATCTCATTACCTAGAGCAGCAACGCACAACGTTTGTGTGTTGGGAGCAACCTTCATCAAGAGGCCTACAAATTCTCTTGACGTTGCTAGACCAGTAGGTGCTCCACCTACAGATCCTGTCCGATTTTTGACGGTCCATCCGTTGTTGCGTCTTTGCACCAACAGCGGACCCGCGTTCTGCCCCTTTCTCAGGTTGGACGGTCACTACGCCAGTGTTGCGAGACACTGGACGAGGGGCACTACACTCGTAAGCGTAGTGTCCTGTCTTTTGACATCTGTTGCATTTCTGCAACTCTTGTAGTCTGTAGGGCGAGCCTTCTCTCTCTCTACATAACAGAGTTCCATCGGCTCTGGACCTCCGCTGTCATATCGTCTCGGTTGACGATATGATGTCGAGCTGGCGCGAGCCTGTCTCAGACTGAATTCTTCCTGTTCCGCAATGGAAATGGCTTGTTCTAGTGAATCTAGTTCAAGCCGGAACAGGTGAGTCTTGACGGGACCATCCGCAAGACCCTGCATGAACACCGAAACCCACTTGTGTTCATCCACCGGATTGGAACTTATACAACTCGTGAGACGTCGTATATGTTGAGCGTAAGCGTGCACATCACGCTTATCCTGCTTGAGCTTCAAGAGTTCGGTTCGATCTCTGAACTCAGCTCTAGGAGGTTCAAACGTTTGTCTGAGCCGCGACTTGAAGACTTCTAGCTACCCAAACGCATATGGGTCGTGCAACTTGAGCCCCAGTGCCCAATTCTTGGAGTCTGCCAGATTTGACTGGGCAAATGCAACTTGCACATCCCCGTCGTCGATGCGACGCGCCCTTATGGCGTCGTCCAATTCGACAAACCATCTCAAGAGGGAGTTCTCTTCGACTCCCCTATACTTGGAGATGTCAAACTTCAAGGCCTCGGGTCGACGCGAGTGCATCTACCCACCAGCAGCAGCCTGCTGCTGC